CTTGATAACAAAAATCAAATAATATGGAAAATGGCCTCGATCTTGTGTCCAAATCTGGTTTTTCAATTTTTTGACTGTCTGACCCAGTAGGCCTACACAGGGCTCGCTCAATGACAGCCATCTCTGTAAAGAACTGCAACTGCGTATTTTACGCAATCAAGCACGCATTGCACAGTGTTGAAAATGCTTCAAACACGCGCGCTACATTGTTGTAGTTGCTCGAAATGTGTTCGAAATACGACGCAGCCGATGCGCGTTATGCAAATTGACGCTCAAAATGCCAATGCATGTTGACGGTCTGTAGGAAATGACATAATTTGAACGAGACCTACAGACATGCAATCTGTATCAAGAAGATACTGGATGATTCTCAGGTCTTGCCTGGGATGGTCTTGCATAATCCTACATGTAGACTAAAGCTTTCACTCCACCAGAGCTAACCACACACACACCAGTGACCTTGTGAACAGACTGTGAGAGTTGACCGTCTTTCCTGTTGCCTGCTCGGCCTGACTGTTTCCATTCTGTCTGGTGGTTCCTGTGGCCTTGCTATCAACCATGCAGCCCACCAATGGTTAGGCTCCCACAACCAACATTTACATAGGTTCCTCACAAGTTGGTCTTCATGGTCTTCCTTATTAATTTGAAAGACACTATCTCAAAGGCTTCCTTCAAATAAATTGAACTGTCTGTTCTAACACGATTGATATCTGTCTGTCTGTGGTTGTCAATTTAATATTAATTCCATTTTGTGAGAGTTTATTTGTTTAATTAAGTAATTCATTTTCATTGAGAAAAAATTTCAAACTCTGTGGCGAGGATTTAATTTTCTCTTCAGAGGAAAGATGTTCAAACCCTGCTTTAGGAATTGAGTTGGCTCTCAAGCACAGATGCTGGAATACTAACCAACAACAAAATGCTGTTCTCGCAGTCTGGTTCCTTGACCCTACTTCAAACGAAACCGAGCAATTTATGCTAGACGAAGGGAAATTGTTAGGTCAGGGAACCAGAGTAGCTGGCTTGCATCGGATGTGTAACCGATTGCAAACAAAATGAGGACTAACTAAATTTGGTAAATTGGGGGCAGTGTTTGGAAAAAGTCACTATTTTTTACCATCGTCGGAAATAGACACAACTACAAAAATTCCGCTTTTCTTGAAAATGACAGCACACCAGGTGCCATGATTTCACAGGATGCTTGAGACTATTATTCACTTACAGTCAAGTAAGGTATTTCATAATATTTGGGCATTTTTGTTTTTGATGTTTGCAAATGTTGAATATTTCCTTTAAGAAGGTCTGAAGAATCCAAGCAGCCTTATTTTCTTACACCAAAGACCTACATGTACACAGGTACCATTATTTAAAATCCTGAATTAGTCCTGCCTAGCAATGGGAAGGGCTTTTTACTGAGTTAGGATCCAAATATTGCAACCTGTTTGAACAGAGTAAAGATTCCTGAGGTTCGGCGGACAAAACACAAAGCAAGTTTTAAAACGAGTTATAAGTTTTACATATTGTTTGAGTTAATTTTTGAAATGGCACAGGGACGCAAGGTCTACAGCATTTCTGCCAAGTGCCAATGCTGTGCAAAAGTTGAGCATAATGTACATTTACACTATCCTTGGATACAATTTCAGAAAGTCAAAGTCATGAGGCATTATAAGAAGGCAAAAGGTTCAACTTTCAAGTGACCTCAAACGGTAAAAATTAGGCACAAGGTCAGCGACTTGAGCTCAGGTAAACCATCTGGAACGAGTTAATATCTCCACCGGCTTTTTGTTATTACTCCGTTTAGTATTTGATTCCGATATCCAGCTGAATAAAAACAGCAAGTCTTTAGTCTCGCCTGACAAGTTAACATCTTAGAATTTCTGTGACCCGAGCACAACCAAAATAAATAGTTCAGGAAACAGTTTATAATGTAGGTGGCAGCGGAGACCGAAAAACTGCTTGAGGTCAATTTTTTTTTAAATAATAGGGTGTTGAGGAATTCGTGGGCTTTTTTAGTTTGTGGACTATTTTAACTATTACCATCTGTCTGTAAAATTGGTTCCGTGAAGGATCTAAATTCCCACTGGACTATTTAAAAATTCTGTATAATTTCCGAAAACAAATTGCATAAACCATGCTACCAAGAAACTGTAAAGTTACTGTATTATGACTCACCAAAATGTTTAGCCTAATGTGACAATCCGGACACAAATTCGACTACGGCCTTGATTTTGTCTAGACAAGAGTTTGTATCCGGGGAAAGTTGCCTAAATACTGGTACTTATGACTTATTGGGCAAAATAAGGAGTAGGTTAAGATGAAAGGGGGCGAGCAGTCTGACTGTAAGCCTGTTATGTTAAAGGGAATATACATCATTTGCTTTTGCTGTAATTTTCAGAAATGGATGGAATTGGGGGGTTGGAAATATATAGCAAATATAGTTACACTGACTTTTTTGAGGTTTTGGGTTCGAAAATGCTATAAAAACCAAGAAAAACAATCATTTTCCTGTAGTCTGGTTCCCTGACTCCATTTAAGAAGAAACAGAGCAGTTTACATATATTGGGGAATTGTAAGGTCAGGGAACCAGTCTAGCTGGCTTGTACCCGTTCATAGGTGTGTAATCGATTGCAAACAAGTGCGATGGTCAACTGGGGCCAGTATTTGAAAAAAAGCCAGTTTTTTTCCAACGCTGATCGGCCGATCAGCGTTGGAAATTGATACAAAAATACCACTTTTCTTGAAAATGACAGTATACCAGGTGCCATGATTTTACAGGATGCTTTACACTGTCATTCACTAACAGTCCAGCAAGGTATTTCAAAATGATTTGGTAGTTTTATTTTTTGATGTTTGCAAATGTTGTATTTTCCCTTTAACTAAGAGTAATAGTGTAAAACAACAAATTTCAAGGGGTTTAAATTTAAAACTTTGATTGTATCTCCAGTGTCACTCATATTAAGGAGATAATCTGTGCCAAATTGAGGAGAAAATGTGGGGGGGGGGTTTAGATTTATAAATCTTTTAAAATTCTTATGGAGGTTGAGAATGCCTTACAATTCCTTGTGTTTTTTTCTCTTGTGACTGAGGTACTTTATGTCTTGAGTTTGCTCATACTCATAGATTTTACTCTGCTATTGTACTTGTCCGGTGTTCCTGAACAAAATCAATGTAAAGCCTCCAGAATTTTCAAGAAGATTTTTGGACAAATTGTTAATGGAACATTGCTCTGCTACCTTTAGTTTAAGTTGACTTACTAAGATAGAACTTTACAAACCTTTTCAACGATTCCAAATACATTCCATTCACAAATTGTCTAAATTGTTAACAACTCCAGGACCAAACCAGAAACCATTGTTGGCATGAGATTAGCTTGATAGGATTAGCTGAAGGACTGTAAGGATTAGCCTGTCACTATTCACTTCCTGTAGATCTTATTAAATGTACCTCCCAGAATTACTGTTCATCTTTTGTAACTCGTGGTATAGGATTTCATGTAGGTGGTCCCTTAAAAAAAGGCACTAATTTGGGGGTGTGTTTTTTTTGGGGGGGGGGAATTTCATGGCTCAGAAAAAAACTCTTTGGAGATTTCATGTCTTAGAAATATACTTTAAAGACAAAACACTGAGTAACAGATAACCTTTTGGGAATTTCAGCTATGAAACGGCATAGAATTGTTGTGCAAAATAGAGTTTTCACAAAAAAAGTATCAAAACTACATTCAATTCTGGGTGGTAAGACTTCATACATAGGCCTTTAAATGTGTAAAACAACAGGTTTTTGTTTCAAATTGGGCAGGGGAGAGAATTTTACTCATGTTGCAAAAGAAAGGGAACATCATTTTCATATTTAAAACAAGAGTAGGCCCGCATGCTTTACATCGTGATTACAACTGGAAAAGGAAAGATTTCCATAATACGAAGTTCACTTAACACCCTGTGTACAAACCCTATGAGATTGGACTGAAAAATTCGAAGTGTTTTCTAAGAAAATGCTTGTATTTTCTCACTGCTCAAATTGACTTTGATGACATGAAATTGCTATCTGGGGGCTTGTTAGTCAATACAGAGGAAAATTAGTGAACTTCTTATATGGAAATCGTTCCCTGGAAAAACTTGAACAGCGTACATGTACTTCTGTAGATCAGGGTGGAGTGACGTCATCCGATGAAAACATCATTTTATTTGCACACCAGTTTTGTTGCTACGGTATGTGTTACCATTCAGCACTCCAGACTCAAGAACCATCAAGTCAAGAACATAGGTCTGGGAGCTAGGTAAGCCAATGTAACAAACAAATTCCCGGATGTCCACGCCCACCTTTTAGGGGCAAGGGAGTTGAAAAGTTTGGGAATTGGGCAACTGCAGCTGTTTCCGTTCAATCTTTACCCTGCCACATGTGCAGAATTTACATTTGCTGTAAATCACTTGCTGCCGGACATAAAATGGGAAATGGACACCCTTACTTGATGTAGTTGGTTGTGTTTTGAGGCGTTGACATTTATCATGTTTTTACTCAGGGGAATTTGAACATGTTCAACATCATATTTCATGATATTCTCGGTTTCTATCAATTGAAGTGGGAATAGGCCAATGCCGTGGTTTCGTACAGTTGAGCAAGACACAAAATCTATTGTTCTTTGGGAGAAAATTAACTGAATGAAACAACTGGCAGACTGTGAAAAAATACAGCCTTATGAACACTAGATGAAATATTTAGCTTTTTGTTATTTGTGTTAACCATCATAAGAAAACCTTCCTTTTTTAACATGTTTAAGATAACTTTTTTGTCTTTTCTTTTACTAAAAAATACTAGATTTTTAAGACAAGAAAAAGTACTGAATAGTATGAACAAAATAAAAATATCACATGATCAATAGCAAATTCATTAAAACATCACACGATCAATAGTAAATTCATTAAAACCATGTCTGTGGCAATTAACATGATTAAAGTTCAATAAAAAAAAAATACAAACACGCTTTTTAATTCATTTGTGTTGCTTACCAGGATCGTGGAATGGCACAAGTCCAAAATTCCTCAGTGGTTGTTCCCTCCTAGACATAGCCGTGTTCAAAATATTTTCAGCTCCATCTATAACTTGGACTAAATCGTCAAACATTGAGCCAGTACTGTCAAAGACGAAAGTTAGTGACGAGCCAGAATTTGGAGGCGGGGCAGTTTCTTCGGATTCGGGGGCGGGTGCAGGCTGAGGGGCAGCGAAGCCCAAATCCCCGGCAAAGTTATAGCTAACACTCGGGACTTCATACCCAGGTATCTGTGAGTGGACCCCACTCAGGGGCAAGGAGCAAAGTACAAGGAGGAGGGGGGAGAGTTTGCTCAAGAACGAGTCAGTTGTTGAATGAAGCAGCATCTTGCTGGTTGTTCCGAGGGACCAAAATTGGTTGCCCTCTCAAAAAAAGTGAAGACTTCACAAGTGGCGTTCAAAAAAACACCCCAAATCCTCGTGAAAAAAAAATACAGATTGTTTCTGTCACAACAATCACATCAACAGACTAGTCCAGCAGTGTCACATCGTCCAGTGATGTTCGGTCATAAGCTTCAACTTGTTGAAACTAAGGAAACCTCACTCGAAAATCGTTCCAAAACACACACAACCAACTCGGCGAAAAGTCTTCCTAAACTTCACTACTTTTCCCCCCTATCAACAAATCAGTTGTACTACTACTAGCAGCATTCAGCAGAGGAGTTTATGAGTCCACACCGTCGTCTTCTTGCCTGCTTACAACTGAAGGACAAAGTTGAAAGAGTCCGTTTTTAACTGACTGGAATCCCTTGAGGAGTTCAGCGGGTGACACCACGTCAGCCCCCCGTCAAGAACAGCGCGACTTCCGACTGACCGAACAGCTCGTGCTCGCTGAATTGTAACCAGTCCTCGCGACTCCACCAGTAAATAGAAAGGAAGTGGTCGTGGAGGAAACAATAAAGCTGTCTACATGGCCAGCCAGAATCAATGACTTGTGTGTGCGAGCAGGTGAGATACACACACGATTTATTAAAATGAGCAATTGGAAAAGGCGAGGAACAGTTAAAACACACGTGACGAAAACCACAAAGTGTTAGAAAGTAGTGTAATATACGTAACATACCGCGCACGCCGTATCGTCAAATCATTTTGTTGAAGGGCGCCCTCCCATACCCACAACACAGGCAACATGCACATTTTAGACGGGCACTGCACTAGTTAAAATAAACTAAACAGTTATTATGCACGTAGTTCGGCACTTTTACTTCTTAGTTTGCACTTTACTTTCATTGTCGGAAACATATTACAAACGGGATTTAACAAAATGCGGCAAATGAAATTCCTTTAGCATGTACATACAATAAAGAAGAAAAGGACACAAGTTGGGCGTTAGCCCATTAACTATACACAAATACATGTATAGCCATAGGTAGACAGCAGGGCCTACTTCAAAACTGCGATTACGAAAGGAAAAGAAATTGACAACATAGATATGCATGAGCACGGCATGCAAAGTATTGAATGTCATTTGGTGGTTGAAGATAATTAAAAATTGACATTAATCGTAATAAAAGTAAAAATGATGTAAACAAATTAGGTTCCGGTGTATTGCCGAAAATTCTTCGTGACGGATTTGTTTACGCGAATTTACGCATGCGCGGACGTGAGTTCGATCGGTGGTGTGACCATGGAGGAATAAAAACACATTCCTCCATGGTGTGACTGAGCCTTTGGTGACGTTTCTTTTTGTCATAACGTATGATCAGCTAAACAAATCCATCACAGACAAAAAACATTGAGTTGAGAACCACACTCCGCCCCTTCCATTCAAATCTGCCCCAAAAGTTGCACAAGTGGTGAAACACAAAAAGTTGCACGTACGGCGAGCTTTCGCGGAAGGGAGGTCGGGAAATTAAAGTGGACTGTCAAGGGGGGTGTGCATGGAGACAATTTTTTGTGTAACCCTAAATTATTTTTTTCAAAGATGGTAGGGCGCAACATGTACCTACCATTCCCTTCTTAGCTTACACTTACCTGGATCGAAAAAGGGCACCAGACCAAAGTTATAGATAGTCTTGTCCCTGCTAGCAAGCACTGTCGTTAAGATCTCCTTGGCTCCTTTCAGTACTTGCTCCCAATCATCGTACATGGAGTCGGAGATATCCAAGACGAAAGTAAGAGTGGTTCCCATGGGACGAGGCTTGGCAAACGCTGGGCGGGACCCTTCAGACACACCCTGAATCTCTAGGGTAGCTTGTAAGGGGACGTGGTTACTCTTGACCGTGGTGGAACGCCCAGGGTGGGGGCTGAGAAACACAAACAACAGGAGCGTCAAGTACCCAAGGTGGCTGCAACTCATTGGCTCCATAGTCAACTTCTTAGACACTGGCTTCGATAATCTTAGAATAAAAGTGCTCCCTGTTTTACAGAGAATTATACCGAATTCGTGGATTTACCGAGGTTATTTCAGATGCATTCATCGCGGTAGGCTTATTCCAATAACTCGCTTCCCGTCTCTGGGAAAGATAGAACTCGGATCGTCGACTTGAAGTGGTTTGACATCGGACCACGCGATGGTGCGAGTATCCAGACAAACAACGCAACAGTGCATTTGAACCCCCTGCCAAAGTTATATTGATGTTATATGGGCCAAGTCAATAGAACAAATAAACAAACCTAAAGAAAACATGGACGTCCGTTTTCAGTTGACATGCATGTCCAATATCCTTTTAGAGTAGACGCAATGATATATGCGAGGTTCTGAAGTTCAGATTTTGTCCTTTCTTTTTCTACCTTAATTTCTTTGAATAAAATGTTGATGTTTGAAGTCAAATTACTATAGTTCGAAGTGGTATTTCAAGACGATATATCTTCATTACTGCGTTTTGACCAACACGTTTTTAATTAAATGTTTAGGCAAAAAATGTTTCGAACAAACGAAAAAAAATTGATTGGTGGGCTTGTACAAGTTTAGCCTTTGCAGGCTTTTCCGTCAACTTGACAAAAGTCTCTGCTTCCTACTCTGGAGATGAAACTGACAAGAAACTAAAAATAAACTTGATGAATCCTTCATAATTATATATGAAAAACAAAATGGTTTTCAATTGGATGATTTATAATCACGTGAGTCTATATTCACTGCTAATTGGTTGATACCCTCAGCAATTATCCACAATTATTACAAAAATTGTATAAAAGACAATCCAATACGGTTCGAAATAAAGTGAATAAACATCGTCACTTTCTTCAGATTGGCTTCTTCGTTTGTTTGTTTGTTTGTTTGTTTGTTGGGGTGTTTGTTTGTTTGTTCGTGAGTAGGGCATACCGGTATGCTCTATTTTCAACAATATAATTGGTTCTATAGGCCAGAATTTTGTGTAAACCGGGATCTTTAACATTCGAAAGTATTACTGTAATTGAAATCTTTCGAGTTTTATGCTGCCTGTTGTCCATCAATGGTGTTCCAAATTTTGAAATGGACAGATGTTCAACTTTCAGACAGATACAGACTAAATCTCAACGACAAACGTTTTATTCTATACCTATTCCTACTTTTTGCCATTGTAGGAGTATATTCTCCCTTGTCAGTTCATGGTTCCCCGGGCAGCCTGACAGATATCACGGTAACCGTGTCTGGATTACCCATGAACCGTCAATTGTTCAACTACCGAAAACATTCACCCCATGATCAGATGTTGCCCGTGGAGGAATTCCCCGGGGGAACCATTCTATTATTCCCGATCGGTACATCGGGACAGTTACGAGTTCATTTACACCCGAGGGCCTCGGGCATTTAATAAACCTTGGCACGCACTATGACGAGTGAAGGCTGATAACATGGCCCAGGAAAAGGGGAAATATCAGTATTAACCAAAATGGTAAAAAAATCACGATTCTTTTTATTCTGGAAGACTTGAAACGAAAGGTGTCCTACCACAAAATGGCAAAAAAGGAAACGGTAATGCGTGCAAGATCGTTACATAACCATAACAATCATCTTTATATAGGAAAAGAAGATATGAACGAAATATGGCAAATCTTTAGTGATACAAAATATACGCCTACATTTTTAGTAAAAATGTTGATTTCAAACGTTTGATGTCTGTGCGTGGGTGAGCACGAGCACACCCAACTCAGAATAAGCTAAGACAACTTATTAATAGCCCTACAGTAATCCAAAAATGACCATGACTTAGATATTACACAAATCAAATTAAAAATTAAGGGAGAAAAACTGGTTGAAACTTGACTTTTTGTTTTTCCAGTATTTTTAAACTGAATTTTCGATCCGTGTTCTCAGCTGGACTGATGATTACGAGTAATAACAGACTCAGCGTGATTTGCCTGAATGTTTGACGGGAGTCCAGCATAATTTGCCCGGTATGACTTCTGCGGATGACGGTCAATAATCACTGATATAAGGGGGAAAATCAACGGTCAATTACAGAACAGGGCCAAATCTCATGCAGCTGCTTAGCAAGTTTAATGTGCTAAACACAAAAATTTGTTGAGTACCAGTCACAAGCAATATACACCACCTGATATTTTGGCTGGTAACCTTTTTTTGCTCAGCAAATTTCTAAGTTTGGCAGGTCCTTGAAATTTTCCCCAGCTGACTGACACAACCGGGAACGCCCACCTGAGGGTCTTTGCACGGCTGTTTGAAAGCGAGGTTACAAGGGCAAATATCGGTCCATTGAATCGAATTGAATCTTATATTACGAAACCCAAAGTCTTTGTTTTTCCCTTGCACACATGCCTTAGTTCTAATATTGTTCTCTTCAAAGACCAAACAGTTTATGCATATCAGAATTCCTAGCAAAGAAGTTTTATGGATAATGTTAAGTCTTGACCACGCTGTAAATAGTTTATTATTTTAAAAGAGTCGGCCATATTAAATTGAAAGCGAGGCAAAGTCTTCATTTTTGGAACTTGCGAGTAGAAATGAAAGAAATGAAATAAAAATGCATTACAAATTAACATCAGTCTGGTCTGATGAAGAATTTAAAATTTGTGATTAAACATACCTATAATGTTTTAAACCGCATTTAAAAAAATTGAAAGCGAGGCTTGGAACGCACTCCAATCATATAATAGTCTGGCACCATTCCGTTCAATAGTTTATAATTTATAAAATAGATTCAGGGAACACGATCGATAATGGCTTTCTGGTGAATAAGGTATTCTCCTGACGACGACCAAAGAATACTAGTCGAAACGTTGAAAGATTCATCTGTGAATGTTAGGTATACCAAGTCTGTGAACCCATACCGATAACGTGAAGACTTTCTTCAATTCCCCCAGTGTAGTCAAATAAAAGGAAGGGGGTGATTATCTAAGCTTCCACCCGTGGTTCGGTTCCTTTCACACTACTCCGTGTCACTGAGCGTGACTTCATCAGCTACTGACCCCCAGCCGACGCAGGGCAACTCGCAGGGGCGACACGGCGAGTCTTCACTCGTCGCGTCGACAATTTACCGGTCAACTTGCATTCCCGAACGCTTGGAGAAAAAATGCAAAAACACGCGAGTTGCGAGTACGGTGGGCGAGTTATAGCATTGTCCACAGATGTTTTTGGTTTTGAACTTCAACCTCTGAAATTATGACGGTAATTATGACGGTTCAAGTGGATAACCAATTAGGGGATTCTTTTTTGCAGGGGCGTACCCAGGGGGTGGGAGGGGAATGCTGCCTTCAGGCAGTGAATATTAATTGGTTTTCGAATGAATTTGTGTGGTTTTAGCTGAACCTTGTCACGGAAGTCCGATAGACCACAGGAAAATCAGGGTAAAACCCTTACCTTCCCTCCGATCCGTGTCCTAGATTATTTTGATTGCTAACTGAAACTTGCTACGGAAACTGAACTTGTACCAGGAACCACCGGTGCACCACTCACATTCAATGACCGTCGGATGAGCTGGTTTTAATGGATCCCATTGATCACGGGTTGAAACATTGCGTATTTTGAGGGATACCAGTTTGGATCAGAAAGACAATTTTCACGAGAAAATACGGTTTTGTCGACAATTTGCCGTTTTAGACGAAATAATACCGGTTTTGACGGGACAATGACGTTTTTGACGGGAAAATAAGGGTGTTGACGTGACAATGCCTGTTTAAG